TGGTGATACTTTGCTTTTCACAACCACAATCATAAAATCCTACCCCTAACCATTTGATGTTGCATTTTATTTTGTTTAGGGTATATATGATGTCTGTTAGCACAGATCTAACTTCCAATTATTAAATTTCCTGCCAGCAGAGGCAAATGAAAAAAAATCATCTTAAATCTTTGATTTTGATTCTAGACTGAGATATATCTATACCTGTGTCAATCTCCTCAAACGTGTAGAGGTGCATTTTCAGAGAGAAAATATTTCAACTACCCAATCTCAAGTGTACAGGGGATGCAGAATATAATGTAAAACTTCCCATCTGTATACCATTTGGTTCATACCAAGTTAACCTCAGACAGGTTCCCAGATACCCCATCTTCCTGGACTCTTTCTCCTTTCCCCTTCATGTCCCTCTGTCTTGCTCTGTGAATAGTGCATCCTCCGCAACTGTGTATGCAGCTGCCTCACATGCTGAAAATCATGGAGGTCAGTGTTTTTGATTCCTTCCTAGTGATGAGGGCAGTGGTCCTAGACTTCAAATTACTCAGAGTGAAGGATTCACATGCTGAACCATTCTTCTAACACTTATGGGCTCTTATAAAGGATAACATTCGTATATTATGTTACTAAGTAACTCTGCACAGAGGTGAGGATGGGAATGGGTAAAAGATATAAAGAGGCATATGCTCTGTCTCTGTCTCTCCCCCCACCCCCTACCGTCACCCCCGTCTCATAGCACTAACTTTCTGAAAATCCTTAATCTTTCAATTAAACTTTCAACCCCTAACCCAAGAGATGGAGCAGGGAAGTAGACTGAGAACAGAATATAAACTGAGAATAAAACCTGATGCCTGAGAAATAGCAAATCAGGTGAACTTCAGGAGTTGACCAATTTTTACAGTTTGTTCAGCAGTTTTCCAACACTAAGTTTATTGTTTTTACAAGAAGCAATAGAGAAAAAAGAGAGTGTTCATCAACCAGGTTGAAATTTGTGTAAATTGCAAGCACAGGAATATGAGTAAAAGAATCCTCTTGGGTCCTGATCCAAATGCTCCCCAAACTGGGCCTCCTTCCCCTTCTTCCTGATGCCAGCAGAGAGCTCAGCTGACCCTGCTTCTTCTCAGTCAAAACACATCTGCCTTCAAAGAGCCATATGTTTGACAAGAAGAGTTCGTCCCACACTATACCCAGAGAAAGATCCGTACTCTTTCTCTTCAAACAGGTTATGTAAGGAGGGACAATCCCCAAATATCCACATGAAGGATACACGAGAATCTGTCACAACAACTGTTGGTCAGAGACTGCTGTCCTTGCAAGTTAATACTCACAAACATTCAAACCAACTGGGATTTTTCCCAACTATCATATGCCACCTTTTAACAACCATTTTTAATAATTTTAGTTTATTTAGATGGCTGGATCCTGAATAACATTTGACACAGTAGTAAAATTGGCCGTAGAGATCCAAGATATTTTAGGAAATTTATCTTCATCTTTCTGGAATCAACATAAACAGGTTGTCTGTTAAAAAAAGACAGGCCAAAATTGAAAAACAAAATGTGCCTTAAAACAAAACAAAATGAAATAACTATCTCATTTTTCAGGCAGAAAGAAGAAAAATCCTTCACTTTTCCCAGAGATTACAAAGCAAAACTAAAGCATTACAAATGTTGAGTGGCTGCTTTACAAATTAGTCCTTTAATGTTTTAAAAGCAAATATATCAAAAAAAGCAAGGACAACAGATAAGCTTCATAGCAATTTTTTTCCTCTTAGGGACCAATGAAGATCTCTGTGGTCCATGATATTTTTAATTCAGCTCTGGACTTTCTCCAGGAAATCACTAATAATTACTAATTGTATTTTTGTAAGTTAATGATAGGATGCAGTCTTTTTTCAATGCCTCCTTTCACTTGTGTAATTAATGATGTTGCTCTTTTACATGATGGAGTAAAGCTACAATACAGAGACATGAATTAACTGAAAAGCCTCTTTGTGCAGTCTTATAGAAATTAAGTGTAAATTCTAGCCATGCCATTGTCCTAAGGGGAACTATTTCTTCATCTTTCTCTCCCCACTTTTGCTGCTTAGATTTATAATAAACACTAGCAGAAAAGAGAACCGTCGATTGAAGTTGTTCTGTTGTTTTCCACTGACATTGTGGACAATCATAATTGCCAAAATATATTAATGGGATTTCCTTGAAAAGTATTTTCACAGTGTTGAATTTAACTGAATGTCAGTAAAACATCCAGAGTATACTTACAGATACTGCCAAGACTTCCAAACTGCAACTTCAGTTAACTCCTTAAATTTGTGAAGTCAGGTTTATTCAATAAATCTCCAGTTATTTTGTTATACTGTATGGAAATTTATGATTTGGTGAAGAATGTACTAGGAATAACAAGTAAGAAGATTAATGCCCGGCATCAGAAGGTGTTGGTATCCTCCTCAGACCCTTCTGATAACTAGGAGCGCATCATCATGGAAACACGTGAAGCCTCACTTGCAAATGGTGTGTTTCTGGGCATCTTTTTTTTTTAATATTTTATTTTATAGAATTCTTACATCATTTTTCATCTTTGCACAATGTATGCATTTTCATTATGGTTATATTCCCCATACAATTGCACCCCCCCCTTATTTTGACTCTAGTCTTTCCTCTCCCCACCCCTCACCCCTGCCCCAGCCCCCATAGTGTGTCTCTGGTTTATAGTTGATTTTGATTTTTACTTTGTATTGATTAGTCTTTTTCCTGGTCTCTTATTTAAGTTTTCTAAATTCCTGCTATGAGTGAGACTATCCGGTATTTTTCTTTTTCTTTCTGACTTATTTCGCAGAGCATGATCCATAGAGCTTCCATATGATCCAGCAATTCCACTCCTAGCTATTTACCCAAATGACACAGAAACATTAATTCCAAAGGGCACCTGCACCCCTATGTTTATAGCAGCACTATTCACAATAGCTAAGCTATGGAAACAACCCAAATGCCCAAAAATAGATGACGGGATCAAGAAGATGTGGTACATATACACCATGGAATATTACTCAGCAATCAAAAAAAGATAAACACATGTAGTTTGCAGCAACGTGGATGGAGCTAGAAGGGATCATCCTCAGTTTCTGGGCATCATAAAGATTGTTACAGAAACTTGATGACTCACTCTCCCCTTGGGAGCTCCCTGCTATGTTGTCCTAGAGCCTCTCACTCTCCCTCCCTCTCCTGCCACCCTCTCTTTCTCTCTCTCTTTCTCCTTTCTCTTTCTTCCTTTTCTTATTTTTGCTTTATTTTTCACAGAGGGAAAATAGTCAATATTGCAGATAGTTTAAAGGCAATATTGAAAACAGTTTTTTTGTTTGTTTGTTTTGTTGTTGTTTTTTTTTTTTTTTTTTGTGGGACCCTCACCGGTGGCCAGGGATCGAAATGGTGCAGCAGAGGCTGCGGGCAGCCTTGCAACCCAGCGCTCAACCACTGCGCCACCAGGGGAGGCCCCCAATATTGAAGACAGTTTAAAGACAGATGTTTATTCACAGTTTAGGCATGGAGAAGGGATTCATTACCAGACATTTCAAATTCAGCCACAATTTCAGTCCGTGATAGGAATGTTTGTGTTGTGGGCTGATAGTAGGGGCATTGGGTGCAAAGTAACTCCAAAGCCCCAAAATTTCTAAGGCAGTATCAAGAGTTACTGTTGGGGGGCCTCCCTGGTGGCGCAAGGGGTTAAGCACCGCATTAAGCACCGCATTAAGCAATCCGCAGCCTCTGCAGCACCAGTTCGATCCCGGCCAGTCAGGGAGCAACCTACACGTTGCAGCAGATCTCTCCTGACTCGCCCGCTGCTCCCTTCAGCAGTGTATTTCAGTCTGCCTGTTCTGTTCCCTGCTCTGTCTCTGGTGAATCCTCTCACCCACCCCCCATCTCTGGCCTGTACCCCAGCTCTTGTAAGCATAAATAAATAAACCTTTAAAAAAAAAGAGTTACTGTCAATTAAGTATAACATAGTTGGAACTAGTCAGATTTCAGTAGATAGTAATGATCAGGTGCAAAGCATGGTACTACTAATAATACTAGCAGACACTTGAATAACACATACTGTGTGCCAGGCACTGAGTATACATATTTTCATTCCTTACAATAAACCCAATTATTATGCTAATTTTAAAGATTAGCACATGGAGGGGATATATGATTTGATCAAGATTACACATTAGTATTAAGTTTAAACCCAGACTTGGGCCCCAAACACCAGTCATTCATGTATGTAGGTATGGTAAGCAACGCTGGACATTTCTAAGTGAGAAGAAATACTCTTTATTTGTGTGACTAAAAAAACACTCATTGCTCTTTGCTTATAGAGGTATTGAATTTAACTTTTTTTTATTCAAAACTTTTATTCTATTTTCAAGAATTCAACTATACTTTTGAGGCCTCGTCTGAAAAGGCGCAATGCCCTTACTTTCAGTACTGTTTTACACAAAACACAAATGCACAGACCCACATACAAGCACACACATACACATGCACATAATATTGGGACAAATACCTCTGAGGCTTGAACCTCTTGCCAAGAAATATAAACAGCAGAATGGATGAAAAAACACGAGGTGAAGGCTGTGCGTGACTCCCCCCAACCCACAGCCAATACTAATGCACTTATGTTTGATATACACTTCAGTTAAGGCAGTAAACAAACTTCACAGCCCAAGAATAATTTTGGATTATTTATTTCGACAAGCACATTCCCACTGGATTCCTACTGATTGTGAATTAATTTCACTCAGGTATTTCTCAAGGGGAATGTTTTATGAAATTATCATATGCAAATAGTTTGTGGCATATTTTTCCCTCTTATTTATTTTTTATCCACACCAGTTATTTTATGAAGTGCTTCTCCAGCAGTACATCAAAACTTGCTTTTCAGTCATCAGACACAAAATAAGGATTTCTACACTTGGAGTTTGTTCACAAGTCTTGGAACTAAAGACCTAATTTTTTTTATTTCAGAATCTGAGAACCCAGAAGTATGAAGGCCTGTTCTTTGCATATTCATTTATGCCTGGTGACTCAGACAGGTAGGGGCGGGGGCGGGCAGAAATCATCACGTGGAATAAATTGCAGTATTGTTAGTCTCAACATGCAAAGTTATTCTATGATACCTAATTTCAATCTGTTATGCCTAATTAAAGCGGTGATAAAATGAGAAATAGGAAATCTGAATTTTAAATACACTTAAAAATATATGAGGATTTTAAAAGAACTTAGTGTTGGAAAACCTCCAAGTAAAATAAGCCATCGTGCTTAAAATAATCTTTAAAGTCTTTCCATTTTGTGTGTTTCATGGACCACCTTTCAGAATGTTCTGGCTGGACAGTCTTTCACCATGGACCATGAAATTGGTCTGTTTTAAAGGTAACTCTTATAAAAGTATCAGATAGGACTAGTGCCCATGACTTCTGTTTGTATTTCATTCAAACTCGTGAGTGGCCAGGCTATGTCAATTCTCATGAGCACCTACTGAGAAAGGTATTCCTTGGGAATAATCAGAGTCCAAGGTAGTAACACTATCTTTTGCCAACACATTTTCAGAAATAAAAATTTAAATACAGAAGAATGCTATTCATCAAGGTGTTAATCTTCTTTCATTAGTAAATGAACACATTCATGTAAAACAGTGAGTCTGGTTTCTACCTATAGCCTAAGGAAACCCAGAATCACAGGATAAATGATCAATATTTGTCTTAGAGCCACACATTTTATCCCAGGGAATCCCCATCTATTCTTGATAGTGCCGTGACCTAAACCAGTTTTCCTAAACCTTGTCCTCAAGTTACACAGCAACTTAATTTGCCTTTATATGCTCATGAACTAAAAGATCTAACAGAAAAGGAAGTCTGGCGGGGAAAGAGTGCCAACCTACTATTCCTCTAATGTATGGAGTATCTTAGAGCTGAGCTCAGCCCAAGTTTACTGAAGTTTTGTGTTTGTTCAGTAGCTAGCCTGTGAATTCTAGCCTGAGCTGAAGCCCTTTGTTTTGTGGGGGTTTTGTAAAACTTTTTAGTTTTCTCTAAATCAAATAGATGTGGCTCAGAACCAGATGCCCAAGACTGCTGCCAATTTTCTTTCCAATAACCGCCCCCACCTCCCCACCCCCCAGTTTGGAAGCCACAAAGTGGAGGTGAGGAAATGCATTTTTCAAGAAATTAGAAAGATTCTCCTAATAGGGAAGGTGCAGGCACTTTGGATCCTCAGAAGTGGGAGAACCCGAGACCAGATGAAGTCTTAGCTGGAATAATTAAAGTAAACAGCTAATTAGAGGCTTTTGAAGCCTGAGTGGATGGAGGAAAGGAGAAATAAAGGTGGAGCAAGCCAAAATGGCAAGCATTCTTGACAAATTGCTGCCTGAAGCCAAGAGGCATGAAGTTCTGCCAAAGAGAGCAGAGACTGAAAGGTTTCAGACACTAAGAAGGGATTCAGAATTACAGCTTTCAGTCTTGAGGAAAACTCAAAGTCTAGTGATATAATGTATTTAACCCATCTTTAAATGCTTAAAATTTTAAAATATTGTTCTTCAATATGCACACCTCTTCATCCACTGGGCTATGAAAATAAATTATTCTAGGTATTTATTTCTGTAACCAAAAGACTATATTTACTGGATCACAGTAAAACAAATTGGGCTCTTCTTGGGAAAGTCTCACTAGTTGCTTCATGCAGCAGTATTTAAGGCATCATTATTCACTGGGCAGGGGCCTCTTGAAAATGAACATCAAAATCAGAAAGAGTTGCCCAGCCTTTCTTAGGGTATTCCTACACCTCCTCCATAGTAAAGTTCATACATGCATGTCCATCCCAGAGAGAATCCTCAGTGTCACTTTGAGTTGGCGCTGGCTGTCCTCTGGGTACACAGAGGACATTGAGTCATGCCCCAGCTCAAAGCTTGGTCTTCTGCACTCAAAGCACAGAGAGTTTTTGCATTGAATTCAAGCTTAAACTTTCCTCTGGCCTACTGCATACTCCCTGGCCACAGACAAGGCTGACTGCATGATTCTAACAGTTAAAGCTCTTCCTTTGTGCTCTATGAAAGAAACAGGAAATCATATCTAACTCTGGTTACATTAGCATTGAAGATAAAGCATCTTAGCCTATTTTTACCTGTATGATTCAGATAGGAAAAGATAGTCTTAGCCATAAATTCCAAAAAATAAAGTGGAATCGGGAGATTAAGAAATGTGGCAATTAGAAATCTGTCACAAATATATATGAACAAGTGTTTACTGCAGTATTTTTGTAATAGTAAAAAGTTGGAAATATCGTGAGTATCTATCAATAAGAAGAGGCTACATAAATTATATAGCATTCATACTATGAAGTTACATGAATTTCACACTAAATTATATAAGACAAAGTTGTGTGGTAGATATGGAAAATTCTCTATTACACATTGCTAACTGGATAAACAAATCACAAAGCAATACTTATTGTGTAATTACATTTACTTCATAAATCAAATTTAACTACATATAGGGCCTCCCTGGTGGTGCAAGGGGGTAAGCACAGCACTATGAAACTGTCTGCAGCCTCTACAGCATGAGTTCGATCCCCAACTGGCCAGGGAGCAGCCCACATGGCGTAGCAGACCTCTCCTGTCTCGCCCGCTGCTCCCCTCAGCAGTGTATTTTCAATCAATCTGCCTGTTCTGCACCCCACTCATGAATCCTCTCACACATATACCCACCCCTCGCACTTCTGGCCTGTAACCCAGCTCTTATATGCATAAATAAATAAATCTTTCAAATTTAACCACATATAGAAATATTATACATGTTCATTTAAATGCATTTTTAAAATGGTCTGAGAGAATATACCAATCAGTGGTTACCTCTGAGGTGGGAAATGAGATGGAGAATGAAGGGGAAAAGAAAACCTAGATTTTTTTATTCCACTGATTTAGACCTTGGAAAAATGTTTTTAAAATGAACATGTATTATTCATTTGCTACTTGTTTATAAAAATAATGGTGAGGCACGACAGCTTAACAGTTCCTTACCTATAGTATTCTCATTTTTTTCCTTTTTGCCTCACCCCATTTTCTCGCTCAATCTCCTATTCTTGTATTGTAAGAATTCTAGCTACACAGTTTTCAGGCCCCACCAAATGGGCACTTGTGTATAGATCTTCATTTTTGTCATACTTGGTTGAATAATGTTGTTATACTTCTCAGACTAGCAGATAACTAATGTATCAGAGTCAGACTGGGTATATTAGTTTGCTAGGGCAGACATAACAAAATGCCAATGATTATGTGACTGAAACAACAGAAATTTATTTCCTCACACTTTTGGAGGCTAGAAGTCCAAGATTAAGGTGTCTGTAAGTTTGGTTTCTTTTGACATCGTCATCCTTGGCTTGTACATAACCATCTTCTTGTTTTGTTCTTACATGGTTTATAACTTGTGCAAGCCTATTGCAGGCATCCATTTGTATTTCCAAATCTCCTCTTCATGTAAAGACACAAGTCAGATGGGATTAGAGCCAACTTATTAATGGCATCAGTTTAGCATAACCACCTATTTAAAGACGCCTTCTCTAAATACAGTCCCATTCTTTTTTTTTTTTAATATTAAATTTTATTTTTATATTCCCCCATACAATTGCAAACGCCCCATTCTGACCCCAATCCTTCCCCTCCCGCCCCCCACCCCCCAAAAAGTGTCTCTGGTTCATAGTTTTTTGTTGATTTGATTTTCACTTTCTTATAGTTATTCATTTTCCTGTCCCTTATTTAAGTTTTCTAGATTCATGCTATGAGTGAGACCATCCGGTATTTTTCTTTTCTTTTTGGCTTTATTCGCTGAGCATGATCCCTTCCAGCGCCATCCATGTTGCTGCAAATTGCATGTGTTTATCTTTTTTGAATGCTGAGTAATATTCCATGGTATATATGTACCACATCTTCTTGATCCAGTCATCTATTTTTGGGCATTTGGGTTGTTTCCAAAGCTTAGCTATTGTAAACAGTGCTGCTATAAACATAGGGGTGCAGGTGCTCTTTGGAATTGATGTTTCTGTGTCCTTTGGGTAAATACCTAGGAGTGGAATTGCTGGATCATATGGAAGCTCTTATGTTAGTAGGTCCAGAAATCTCCACACAGCTCTCCATAGTGGTTGGACCAGTTTGCACTCCCACCAACAGTGCACAAGAGTTCCTTTTTCTCCACACCTCGCCAACATTTGTTGTTGCTAGTTTTTTTAATATGTGCCATTCTCACTGGTGTGAGATGGTATCTCATGGTAGTTTTGATTTGCATTTCCCTGATTACAAGTGATGTTGAACATTTTTTCATATGTCTGTTGGCCATTTGCATTTCCTCTTCAGAGAAGTTTCTTTTTAGCTCTTCTGCCCATTTTTTGACTGGATTATTCTTGTTGTTGCTGAGTCTCATCAGCTCTTTGCAGATTTTTGTGATCAGTCCTTTATCATTAAGTGGTGGCAAAAAATGTTCTCCCAGTTGGTGGGGTTTCTCTTTGTTTTTGTTATTGTCTCTTTTGCTGTGCAGAAGAGATTTAATTTGATGTAGTCCCAGCTGTTTATCTTTGCCTTCACTATAACTGCTTTGGGTGATGTGTCTGTAAAGATGTCTTTGATGTGCAAATCCCGTAGTGTTTCGCCTATATTTCCTTCTATGTATTTTATGGTTTCAGGTCTTATGTCTAGTTCTTTAATCCATTTTGAGTTGATTTTTGTGTATGGTGTGAGGTAGTGGTCAAGCTTCATTCTTTTGCATGTAGCGACCCAGTTTCCCAGCACCATTTATTGAACAAATTTTCTTTGCTCCAATGCATAGTCATTGCTCCTTTGTCAAAGATTAGTTGACCATAAATCTGTGGGTTTACTTCTGGATTTTCTATTCGATTCCATTGGTCTGTATGTCTGTTCTTGTTCCAATACCATGCAGTTTTGATGATTATGGCTTTGTAGTATAGTTTGAAGTCTGGGAGTGTGATGCCTCCATTTCCTTCTTTTTTTTTTCAGTAGAGCTTTGGCTATTCGGGGTTTTTGGTGATTCCATAT